TGAACTTTGCAAATTTTGTTCCCTTTTATCTCCAAAACTGGCAGAGATAGGTCCATGGTTACTATTGAACTTGAGTAGAAAGTCATATACTGGCAATCTAAATGTGACCTTGAAATTGACCTTTGACCTACTTTTAAACATGAATTGAACTTTGCAAATTTTGTTCCCTTTTTTCTCCAAAACTGGCAGAGATAGGTCCATAGTTACTATTGACCTGGAATAGAAAGTCATTAGAGGCAATTTACTGTGACCCTTGACCTACTTTTTACGATGAACTGAACTTTGATTGTACCATATTTAGTTATATATATATATTTTTTTTTTTTTGCATATTTTGAGAATTCTTGTTGATTGCATTTTATAGAGCTTGTCAAGCACAAGACTGGTGGTGGAGTCCCTTTTTTTGGGTGGGGGGTCCATACGAATGCGCTTACTCCAGCTGGTGGTACAATATCCGGAGGCGGTATCGCCTCTCTGATCCTCTAGTTAGTCATGAAATTGTGCCTTTTTCACCAGGTGTCATGTGGACTTAATGGCCCATACAGCAACCACATTTTCAACTTGACCGTTCTCAGTCACCAAGAGACTGTTCTCAGTCATATTGGGCGGAGCAGTTGGCAGTGAATGAAGGTTTTAATTTTTGGTGTCAGAAGGTAAGAACGGTGGGGGGGGGTCTATAAAGGGCAGAAACCACAAAATTGACCAATCACCAACTGTTATAGACGAATGTAGTTCAGTGAGAAAAAATTAGTGCTTCTTTTCCATTTTTTCCTGGCATTTGTTGTGTGTTGCTGGGGTTAATTTTAGTGTCAACTAGCAGGCTAGGGTGTAAACTACTTTTTTTTTTTTCAGGAGCAAGCACAGTTGTGGTGCAGTTGTGATTCCTCTGGTGGAGGGAGCTACTGACTGTGAGTGGTGCAGTGGTTTGTTTACAAACAGAGGGGTGCACATGTTCAAGTAATGCCGGTAAGAAAGTTTACTTTATGACAGTATATTTTTGTGCCATTGGGAGTTATGTCAGTGCGTCTGCTGTCCATGGGGATGTGAAATGTTTCACACATTTCTTTTGTTCATGCAGTTTTGAAGGCATTTCTTAGTATGGCCGTCAATGGGAAATTATATGGGAAGGCAATGAACATTGTGACATCAACAATTGCTGTTGTATTATGAGAAGACATTCAACATTGTGGCATCAACAGTTGTTGTTGTATTATGGGAAGACATTAAACATTGTGACATCAACAATTGCTGTTGTATTATGGCAATACATTCAACATTGTGACATCAACAATTGCTGTTGTATTATGGGAATATATTGAACATTGTGACATCAACAATTGCTGTTGTATTATGGGAATACATTCAACATTGTGACATCAGCAATTGCTGTTGTACATATGTATTATGGGAAGACATTGAACATTTTGATATCAACAATTGCTCTTGTATTATGGGAAGGCAACGAACATTGTGACATCAACAATTGCTGTAGTATTATGGGAAGACATTGAACATTGTGACATCAACAATTGTTGTTGTATTATGGGAAGACATTGAACATTGTGACATCAACAATTGCTGTTGTATTATGGGAAGACATTGAACACTGTGACATCAGCACACGAACGAAACGTACAGCCTCGATATGAAACCAGACAACTTTTGTGTTTTTAATCTCCAAATACTTTAAAAAATCAATTAAGTTAATAAAAACGCAAGGAACAAGAACTTCTTAGATCGTACATTTTATATTAATGATTATTAAAGATCATAATAATTAAAGAGTCGCATTTCGATTTACTCCATGCTATGGCCTTTATTGAAAAATAGCATTTTTTACGAGATTACAAATTGCATCGTATTGTTTGGTTCCATTGCCTCGCTTTCAAAAATAAGAACAGGCGCCCCAAAACCAGGAGACGAAGTTAAAAACATTATATTGGCCGAGTTCGCCCAGGAACAAGAATGTCCTCGTAGCATTATCTGCAATTAACCTTCCTACGATTTTGAATGTATTTTGCAATATCATTTTCAATTTGGCCCATGGTGAATTTTATTAATCAAGAGGTGAGGGGGTAGGGAATTCCCTTCAGATAGTATGACCTCACATGACATACCTATAAATACTTCACCTTCAAAGGGAATCCCCGAACAAAATAGAAAAAATAAATAAAGTTTTTTCGATTGAATCATTTTAATGCCACAAAATGTTATTTTTTGGGGGGTCGCAACCATTTATTAGTTAATAAAGTGTCTACTCTTTCTTTTTTTTTGTTTAAATATACAAGATACGATAAATCAAAAGTAGGTCAATTGGGGGTCAGGGATTCCCCCAACATGTACTACTCTATTTTTCCACAAATAAAATATCGTTTTCAGCAAAGACTGACATTTTCATCTTTTTATGCATACACTAATGAAAACACATCCAAAAAATATTTTTAAACGACAGTGCAAAGCTAATTGACTCGACCAGACGGCAAACACTGCCGCGCTTTGGTCCTGTGGCAGGCGACATACCAACCGTAGAAATGGAGAAGTGTTGTTCTCGTCTGTCCTCCGATTGTTATGGACGTGTGTGTACTGTAAGAGATAATCGAACAGCAAGGCAGACAGGGATAGCGATAGGCTCTCCTTTGTGCCGTTATCATTATCGAGATGAATACATAAAGTTCTGTTGCACCGAAGGCACGGGACTTTTTGACAGCCACTCCTCAAGATTTCGCCCCTGTCCCGAGAGGCTTTGGGAAGTGTTAGATGACATTGGAAGTAATAACAACAAGTAGAGAAAAGGCATCGGCATTTGCTGGTCCTGTTATAAGAAGATAGACACCACTGTCCAACATCATCCTTCATATATTCCATCAATTAAAAGAAAAAAATCAGAGGTATGGTATTTGTTCTGACATCTTATTTTTCTCACTTTTTTTAGACAAACCTAAGTTGTTTGTCCATAATACTTTAAATCATTTCTTTTATTTCAGAGTTCATCCGATGCAGACACAGATGAAGTTACTCAAATGAACAGTGAACATGACTATGTGAGTTCACAAATAATAAATAAAGAGCAAATAATACAAAACTTGGTAAAACTTGAAAATTTCATCACTTAAAATTTTACATTTTGAAAATGCCTGAATCAAAATGACCATATTAGGCAAGAACTTTTCAAAATTATCCAGAGGCCTTTTTTCAAATTTGACAAAATTTTCTAAGTGAAAATAAAAATTATGTAAGCAGAGACTCATCTTCTGAAAAAATGTTCAAGACTGACTTAGTTTTCAAGTGTTTACCATAAAATAGTATGGCTCAATGAGCCTAAATGCATTAAAACTAAGAGAACACAGAAATGTGAGCAATTCTATTTAATTCCTTTATTTCCTAAACACATACATGTATACTTTACCAAAATAATTTGATAAATGCCATACACAGTTATGTAAGCTGCTTTTCATTAACATTCACAATTTTATTTCAGGCATCATCTGCAGAGAGTAATACTGCAATAAACAGTGAACAAGGCCATGTGAGTAAAGATAAATAAAAATCCAGTAGCAAGTCCTCTTGACTTTTTTCTTTCACAAATTAAAGACTCACTTCCAACAGGCTTTTAGATTTTTTGCCCTTGGTATTAAAAAGTCGTTACTTTGATTTCAGATTACATTCACTGCAAACAGAGAAATGACTACTCCCAGACCAGTAAACAATGAACATAACTATGTGAGTAAAGAGAAATAAACATAATTCTATACACAATAGTTATTTTGCAATCTATATATTCTCTGAAATAAATATTACTACTACTAAGGGCCTATTGTACAAAACACATTAATCCTCACGTGATGCTTGTAGTATCCAGGGGTTTCTTTTGGATTTGGGGTATAGGGAGTCCAATATATGGATCTGAGATGTATCTAACCGAGCCATGTTCATCAGTCCGGTATGTTTAAAGACAAAAGGTCAAACGGTTTTCCATAGTTCAACACTCTTGTGGTTAGGATGGTGTGGTGAGCTTTCATGCCTTGCTTGTAGACATCTTTGGAGCACAGGGCTGGTCTTTTAACAATATTTACTCAAAAGCAATGGAGGCAAAGCGCTAAAAGCATTAGATGCTCTGCATTTTTGGAAAATTAAATAAGTAAATAGTCTTTCTCTTTGTCTTGGTCATTTGGCATATCCTGTAGGAAAGAACAATACGTTTTAGCATAAATATTAAAATTTTTTTCTAGATTTTATTTGCTGGAAGCCCAAACAGCAACACTCAGTTGATCTCCCAAAAAATAAAGAATCAGAAAGATTCCATGGAAGAGCTCCAAGAATCCATAGAAAAGCTCCATGAAGAACTGCAAATACTTAAAGACAAAGGTAAAATGATAATGATTAATCAGTATCACAGTCCATACACGGACTGAATTATCCTCCTTCAAGATAACATTAAAACTCTACATTTAACTATAGTGAGTCAAAATCACTGAAAATGTGTAGCCCTTGGCATAATTCTTTACGTCATTTTTTTTCCAGAAAATTTTGCTCAACTTCTTGAGACCTTTCAAAGGGCCTTATACACCCATTATGAGAATGGTGGGGTAAAGTTATACCAACCAGATGTAATTCAGGCCTTTTGTGATAAGCATTCCCCTGGGCTGTGGCAAATGATCCTCGAGGCCATAGCACCTGTCCGTGGATCTAGTCAAAAAAGAATGGAGCTTCAAAAGCAAAGAGTAGCTAGCTTGCTACATACACTAAGCTATTTTAAGTAAGAAAAACACTAGTAAAAATAATCTAGCATTAATGAAGTACACATTAATTTCAGCTCTAATAAATAGATGAGGTTAAAATACAAATGAAGTCTATGAATAAAAAAAGGAAAAAAAATGCACAATTTAGGACATCTAACAAAAACAAATGATTTTACCTATAAAATTAATTATTGCTTTTTTCTTCTTTATACTAATTACTCTGCAAACAATCGTTGACATAAATGTATCCAAGAAGCTTTTTTTTCATATTCTTATTATATAGACTTGTATACTCTACTTACAGAAATCAGAAAAACAGCCACATGGTTAAAGATTCTGGACTGTTCCTGCACCACAGAGGACTGTCAAAGTCTGGCCAAACAATGGGTTCTATCATGGGCTGCAGTGTGTCCAATAGTACACTTACAAGACATAGAGAACATTTATCAGTACTCAACTCTAAATCAGTCACTCAATGCCTCAATAAAGTAGCTAAGGTGTGTATACCACCCTAGACTAGATAAATAAGCAGAAATTTAGATAACACAACTTTTTATACCCACTTTCACTCCTGATAAAAAAGACTTTCTATCTTAAAAAATTGTAATAATAAATTATCTACATTGGGCATGTGACAGGCAATAATCATTATTTCTTTACAAATTAATAACTAAAATAAACTTCAACAGCACCAGTGTTGCTGTTTTAAAGTAAAACATTACTGTATTTAAGCATTGATATTATTTACTTCAGAACAAGAAGCTACTACTTGGGTTCATTGATGACTTTCACAATGTGCACACAATAAGGGTTCCTACAGAACATCATGCATCATCAGCAGTGAGCATGGCCACTCTATTGGTTCAACAGGTTCCTGTTCCTGCCATTACCGCTTCTCCAGACCTCCATACCTCCGTTCTTGTGGACAAGAAGCTGTGCCGTGGGGGCATTGACATCTCTGCTGTCCAAACAGTCATCTCTAAACTTCAACAGAAAAGAGCTAGTAATTTATTTCAGTTACTGCCAGAGGAGTTACTTCAGCCAAATCAAACAATCTCAACAGCAACACTGGAAGAACTGAGGTATGTATATGTACATGACTATCATTTAATGACATTAAAATAATTGGTGTATCAAAATGATGCCTTTACAATGAATTATACCCAAATATTGCAATAAGCAACCTGACATAACTCCCAATGGTACATAAATATGTTTTGTGTTATCAGACAAACTTTCTTATCGACAATCAATGCACTGCTCCAATTAGTAATACCCTTCGGCAGAGGTCTCACGACTGCACCACACCTGTGCCTGGCCCTTGGAAAAAAAAAAAACAGGCATTTGTTTACACTGTAGCCTACTAGTTGACACCAAAATGAACCCTTGTAACACACAAGAAATGCCAGGAAAAAATGGAAAAAAAGCACATATTTTCTCTCACTGAACTACATTCATCTATAACAGTAAGTGATTGCTCCATTTAGTGGTTTCTGCCCATAAAAAGGAAATTTTTTGGAAAAATCACATCCCTGTGTAATCCTTTTATCTTGCACTGAAATTACAATACTTTACATTTTGTGCATTTTAGGCTTATTTCCAAAATAATCTATAAAATTCTTATTTTTCAGAGTTTACAATGAGGTGCAACATAGGGAGCTAAACAAGCTCAACACTACCTTGCTGATTGATGAAGTTCATCAGCCTCTTCATTCCTTAGCAGATTATGAAAAGGCATTCAGGAGGTTGTTTTTAAGTGATGAGCTCCTGGACTATATCAAAAGCAATGCAGTTTTTCTTCCTGGGGATTACCCAACTTTCTACTTCATGAAAAAACTCATAGCCCAACTGCCCATCACAGATCATCGCCTTCACGTTGTTCCACTTCAAGGTCCATTTCACGTCTTCTTAAACCTGATCGAGGATATTGTCATAACAAATCACGCCTTCTTTGCCAATCTGTATCGTGAAGTCTTTGGAGGGATTCTCGCTAAAAAACCAAAACCCTTTCGTATCAGTCTTGTCATTGTTGCTGCATACCTTGGCTGGCATCATATTCGCTCATCTATTCTTCATAAATTTCATCTATCTAAAGATTTGGAAGTTCTTTATATCCTCTTTCTTTTAGATACTCTCATTCCAACAGCATTTGTTTATTATTCTAAAATCTTTCGTACTGGAGACCTGATCAATTTCCGACTCATCACATCTCTCATTGCCATCATCTTCATCATACTTCGTCGCAAACATTACAACAAAGCTACTTTGGCAAGCATAAGCGACGACATTCATCATCAAGGTTTACCAGTCTATGAGCAAATCAAAAATTCTCATCTTAGCATTTTCACCGAAAAACTTGTGGAACTCTTTCACAGTGTTCTGCGACGTCACATTCAGCCACATTCCACCCATCAGCAAATTTCACAAAGGGCTAAAGAACTTTCGGCAGCAAACATCGATTCATTTTCAAGTAACTTCACCAACCAACCATCATCTTCATCCCACTCTAAAGACCTTACTTTGATCACACACAAAACTGCTGTATTCCTAGTCAAGTCATTTTCTGCAATAGCTGATCACATAGGCCAGGCCAACCAGGTAAATAAGGTTCAAAAGGGTTGAATAAAAGTACCTTGAGTGGTGGTAGTTTGGTATATTTTGCAATCGGCAAAAATTATCAGTTTTTCATAAACACTATTTTGGAATCAGAATATTCTATTTCAATTTTACCAACTTCGAGGACCTGTCCACTAAATTTTTCCCACTCTATGAAGATTAAGCCATTCCGGACTCTCCAAATTATCTTGCCTTTCTTTGTCCCAGTGATTATTTATAAAAAGTCTAATCTGAGCATGCATTTAGTGATATTTCTAATGCACAATTAATTTGGGGTGTTCAATAGCTCAACACCAATGCCAATTGTTATTGGAATATTTGGGATAAAGAAAGCTAAAATATGCAGTTACTGCACTATATTTTGAGTGTACAACAAAGTCTTAAATTCTCCTACCACTCAGGGCACTTTCATTCAACTGGGTAACTTCCCTTCGATTTTGAACATAGAATCCCACTCACAAGGTGGATTTATTTGAATCACAATATTGTAATGCTATTGTGTTCATACTAAAGGTTTTACATTATAAGAATTGAGATTAGGTGCCAATTGCGATTCAAAATGTTGTGTGTGAACAGGGTAAACAACAATGTCATAAAACTATAGTTTCAATTTTACATCAATTTACAGAGTGAAACGAAGCCAAAGGAACTTCCAAAGTACCATCTACCAGGGCTGCAAATTGATGTGGATGTGAGGAACATGCCTCTTGGATTTTCTTTTTACGATTTTAGCGTTAGCATACCAAATATACATGTGAGGTACATTGACAATTAGCAATTAGCAACTTTTTTTTTAGAAAATAACATTGAATGTGGAAATGGATAAATTTGCCATTTGAAAGTATGAGAAAAATGTCCTTTACCCCTTTTTTTTGCCAAAATGAACAGTTGTTATCCCTTTAACATTTAATAAGCTAAAATATAAATTAAAAACAAAATGTATGATGATATCATGCAATGAAATATTTCTTACCTTTTCAGATGTGAAAGCACAGAGTGTTTGGCTGATGAAAATGCAGAATTCAAAATACTCATGTGTGGGCACTCATTTCATATAGCCTGCATGCCCAACCAATGCCCTTTTTGCCTAAAAAACATAAACAAAAGACTAGCAGACCTTTCAAACACTTTTAATCTGTCATTACTACAAAAAAAATGTCCGGATATCAAAAGAGAAAGTGATTGCTCTACAGACGATCTTTCCTCATCACCATCTAAAAGCCCTTATTACCATTCACAAGACTTTCACCATGATCTACAAAAACACATCAATTCCATCAGCACCCTGCCATTTCCAGCAAAAAACAACATCAAACAAACACAACAAGAAACCAAACAATCATACAAGCAAAACACTGTTATCACTCCCAAAATACACACAAACCCAGGCAAGCTAGCAGACAAATTAAAAAACCACACAAACTTACCACTAAACAATCTTCACTTCACAGAACTTAAGGACATTGAAAAGCTAGCATGCCCATGGCAGGGAACAACATCTCATGGCATTAAACTCATCAACACATGCCCCATGGATTTCATCCTCAGTTGCATAATCATATCTGCCATTAAATCACCTTCATTTCGGAACCTGCTTTTTTCGTTATCAAACCCCACTGCATTATCCCTCCAGCAAATGTACCATATGCTACACGCCACCAAGTCCTGGTCAGACATACGCCTTCATTGGCTGAAACTTACAAACAACAGATTTTTAGCCGCAAATCTGAACAACAACACCCTCAACTGCTGGGGTGAGGAAATGGACCTTATCCTCTCCCCCATTTGGAATTCATCCCTGGGAAACATGTCTGCAAAACCCATACACCATTGTCCAACCTGCAACCAAACCAGAGCAAGAAACCCAATTAAAACCCTTCCAGTGCACAAAATTCTAAAACAGTAAGTTATTACAATATTTTTTAAAATAAATGTTTCTTTAAAAATATTGTTTAACACATTAACTTTAATAATACTACATTTTTTGACCGAGTTAAGTTCAATTATTCTACTACATTTTACTAGGTTCAGTATCTTGATGTGTGATGAAATGAGAAATATTTGAGGCACACCCAAATAATTATATTGCACTCAGAATCACTATATATATATATATATATATATATGTGTGTTTTCCAGGCATGGAAGTGGCATCACACACCTGCAAACTGCAGTAAATGAAGTTCTAACACCAACATCTACAAAATACACAGATTCTAAGTGCCCACAGTGCAATACGACAGAAAGGATTCATTTTGAACTCGAAAGACAGCCTCCTTTGTTGTTGTTGTGGGTGTATCCATATGCACTGTAAGTGCAATCATGTCAAAATATATTAATAATTAGCATAATATGTATAAATTAATAAAAAGATTAAATAAATAAATATTCAAGAAATAGATAACATTAACAGTCTACCATGTTAGCTTCCGACTAAACCAGCTAAATTTTGTTTGGACCAGCATTTTTCTCCTTAAAGTTTCAAAAATAGAGATCTTTGATTAGTATTTTTCAGGAATGTACTTATGATTCTAAATTTAAAAAAAATAAAAGTAATGTTTGACAAAACCAACTGCTACAATCTTTTGCAACTATAAATATTAATGTAATAGGGTAAAATGTGTGGTTTCATTGGAAATTTCTAATTAAGGCCGTAAATCCTGATTAGTAGCTGGGGTCCTAAAGATAAGCGAGCTGAAAGTTTATGACACATGCTTTGCATTAAAACAGATTAACATTAACAATGTTTGTTTGTATTACATTTTTTTTTGCATATTTTTAATTTCAGGGAGCAACGTGGCATAAAGTTGACAGATGTGCCTAAACACTTAACTCTAGCAACACAGAAAATAGGTAAATATCAAGCTGATAATTAATGACCTTGTTATTGTTTGTAAACATAAAGCACAATATGGGTATTATTAATTAGTTAACACCTCAAGACTGTTCAACTTGCTCTCAATCCCAATAATATAGATTATGTTACAAACCAAAAGTTTTAGAAAAATTGAAGTGATATATATTTGTTTTCAAATGTATAAAGGTTAGCACATTGAACAAGCTATACTTTACTTTCAGATATACACTGGTGGGCACTTCAGCTTACAGAGATAGTCACTACAGTAGTCACTTTGTGCGAGATAGGGTATTTATAAAGTACGATCCACTTCATTTACCTGGTGACTGTAAGACTGCACTGGATCTTTCAGTTCATAACAGCCCACAGATGACCAACACCTTAGTGTACATTTTATGATTTGTTTCAAGTCACTTACTTATTGGTTTGCTTGAAGACTTAAGGCTTTGGGCATGTCACTGGCTTATGTTAAAACTCCTTAAAGTAATAGCTGTATGTGATAATGTTAGAAATGGTCCAGTCATAAGCTTGAAAATTTGAAACAAGTATTTTAAAAACGTGAGATTGCACTAGTATGAAATGGATGTTTTCTGGGGTATCACATGGTGATACACATTTTTAATGCAACTGTTAAGAAAAAACTGTCCAGTGTAGTTTGCAGTGGTTTGGTGCCATTTCTATGTGTGGAAAACAAATAGGATTCTGAGTCAGAGTGTAAAGCAATACTTGGTGCACCTCAGACATTTCTCATCACATTATACATCAAGATGTCAGACCTGGTAATAATGAAGTAGAATAACTGGTAATGAAGCATGTGAAAAACTACCTTGATCAGAACTCTGCAGTTCACAATGTATTACCTGAACACATGATGACTCTTCTTTCTATTGCATCACTCTTCATTTTCTGAGCTTGATAATTTTTTCCAGGGGCAGACACTGTCATATGGCTATTGCTTTTGTTTACTGACTGTAAAGTGAAGTTAAATTACTGGCTCTGTATCACAAAAAAGGGTTACACTGCAGCAGGACCTTTTATCATGCTGCTTATCTATGTACACATTTTAATATCATTTTGAGATATTATCTTCATCCAAATTTTTTTATTTAAACAATTAGGATTTGCTGCTTGAAAAGCTTAGCTAGTACATCCCTTGGGATGCATGTTATTTGTCAAACACTGTGATATTGCAATTGTTGTCATTTATATAGTTAATATGTTAGATTCAAAAAAATAAATTCACAAAAAAAAAAGTTAAGATGAGCGAAGTTATTTAGGACAGAGTAACTTCTTCAATATCTTCAATACCTTAGTCTAAAAGGATAACTAGCAACATTGTATTATACAGTAGTGGGTTAACAACAAGGACTTTATTTAAATAATTAAAACATTCTGTTGCGTGTGAGTAAAGTTATCTTACTAAACTCTGAATTTGATATATTTGTTATGATTTTTAAATCATGTCAGCACTATAAAGCTCGGAGAATTGCTGTTTAGGGGATGGGGAAGGGGGTTCATCTCAACTCAAAACATTTGGAGCATGAGTGGAATGATCTCAAATTATCAATTTTAATCTATTACCACGGCTACTGGGTGGACTTTTGTTTTAAACATATGTCCATATAATTGCTTGAGATTCTAAAATTTTACCTCCAGCCTGAAAATAATGCATTAGCTCTACTAATAATGATTTTAAAATGTACTGTGCTAAAGCATAACACAATGGCCTCAAAAAGGGTAAAATATTGACCAGTTTTTGCCTCCAGTGTTGATACGGGTCCCAAATTTTTATCTTATCTCTGATCTCCTCCACCAGAATACTAGTAAAGCAAATCAGTTTTCCCCTTGGCAGAGCCATACATAAGCTACAAAAAGATTCATCTGATCTTCATCAATAGTAGTGCCAATGCATAAATTTTGGTCCAGCTCAGCATAAAAAAAGGCCTTACGCCCAGTGCTTAAGGGAGGAAAACCTCCCAATTGGTTCTTTAAAAGAACGAGAAATCGCTTGGCAATAAAATCAAAACTTCTTGACATTTAGTTGTTGATAGAACTTGCAAAATTTTATGTAAACAATCGAGCAACAAAAGGGTTGACTACATACTTCTCAAGTTCACAAACACATGATGCTTCCAGATGGCATGCACAATCTTGCAGGATCCACAGTGCTGTATGATAAGGTAGAATTTTGTGATGGATCATCACTGGTGCCTCAATTATCAACCTGGTACTAATAAATGAAAATTGAAAAAAAAAAAAAGCCTGAGGAAATTACATAAGAACATCACGATTTACCAAGTATAAGGTGGATCTGATGTCTTCTGTTATTTTATTCAGATTTTTATCTTTCACTTCCTCTCAATTCTGTCTCAAGCTAATCTTATCATCTCTACAGGTCTATGTGGATAAATAGTGCATGGCCTCACTGTTGTGAGCAGATAAAACATATTTAAATGTAATTTTTGCCTTCCAATTATGACAGCTGAGCTTACTGCCAGTGAAATTTTACTGTATTACTTACTTAGTGTTTATTTCTGATGCAAGTTTCCACTGGTTCCTCTTTATTGGACTTTTCCTCCAAAACTAACTGTTGACTTCCAATGTATTCTCATTGGTCGAAAAACTTGAAGTTTATTTAAAAAAAAAAACAATTGAAACAAGTAAGGAAATTTCCACACTAAATTATTTTAAGACATTTCTCAAAGACAACCACATAATTATTAGATAAGCATCGAAAATGAGAGTTACAGGCTTGGGGGAATACAAAAATACTTAGTTCTTCTTTACCACGTAGTTGTAAGAGATAAAAGTCCCGGAGAATTTGTGAATATTGCTGAAAAATAAAATCGAGTTAATTGTCCCTTTTCTACACTATGGTAAACTAGTATGGTGTTCTAAAGTAGCTTTCCGTAGTTTGGGGGTCTATAAACTTGGCTGATTAACCCGTCAAGTTGACAGTTTAGTGTGAACAAAAAAAAAAAATTCTTTGATATCAACCGTGCCAACGGAAAAAATCACACTTGTAAAATTACCGTTTTTGTCTCTAGTTAACATACGTGTTCTCGTACTTTAAATAGTCTAGACATTTTCACTCTTTCGTTGCCTACGGTATGCAGAGCGAAGAAAATGTTAGACTTTTACTTACCTACCACGAGGCAATGAATCCGCCATTTTGTGCTGTTAATTTCAAGTGGCGCTTTCGCACATGCGCAGTCGTTTGAAACCTGTGCTTGTGACATCAACAATTGCTGTTGTATTATGGGAAGACATTGAACATTGTGACATCAACAATTGTTGTATTATGGGAAGACATTGAACATTGTGACATCAACAATTGTTGTTACATTATGGGAAGACATTAAACATTGTGACATCAACAATTGCTGTTGTATTATGGGAAGACATTGAACATTGTGACATCAACAATTGTGGTTGTATTATGGGAATACATTAAACATTGTGACATCAACAATTGCTGTTGTATTATAGAAAGACATTGAACATTGTGACATCAGCAATTGCTGTTGTATTATGGGAAGACATTGAACATTGTGACATCAACAGTTGTTGTTGTATTATGGGAAGACATTGAATATTGTGACATCATCAATTGCTGTTGTATTATGGGAAGACATTGAACATAGTGACATCAACAATTGCTGTTGTATTATGGGAAGCAGTTGGCAAATACAATATTGCATAATGTCTCTGTAAGACTGATAACTCTTCACTGTTAGCTAAACATTTTTAAATGTTAGTCTATAGAAATGAGATCTTTCCAAAAAATTGTGAAATAGTTATTCCATTTATTGATTGAGGCAGTTGATAATGATTTTAAAAAATTATATATAAATAAATTGTTGAATAATTTTCCCAAATTTATTTTATTTTTACTAATTTAAATGAAAACAATGATTAATTCAAGAATTGATATAAAATCTGTAGGTATCATTGTGTGGATATAAAGAAGGGCTGTGTGATGATCCTCTTTAGCACAGAGTTCAGACACCTAGATAATGTCAACACTGGAAAGGTGTTTATGCAGGTGAATTATGAGTTTGTAAAAACAATATGCACTGCCTGTTGTTTTATCACTATGAAATTAGTTTAGAAGAATTCCTGCTTTAAAATGGCAATTCCATTGCACAGCCTTTAAATTGTCTTCAGTTATAGAAAAAGATCCAAAGAATGGCTTAACTTCTGAGTTATTACCATAATTTCTAAATGATATACATTATTTCACTAGATATGTCTGTCATGCCTACTGAACCTGCTAGGGGATAATTTATTATCATTTAGCAGGTTCAGTAGGTGTGTCAGACATCTAATTAAGCCACTTAAGCTGAAAGCAATGAGCGAGAAACCCTTTGGAGATGGATCGATCCTGTTAGATTGATCTAAGTATATGGGAACCCAGTTTTAATATTTGCTATGTCTAAAGGTTGATTTTCTCCTATTACATGAATTAATATTATATGAATCAGTATTATATAACCTATTTGGGTTTTATGTAAATATGATGATGGTTTACTCATACACTGTACTGCCATTGTTAATGAATGGTTGTGTTCAGTTGATAGTTTAAAATATTGAAAGACTACAGACAAAGTAGTATTGATGACTGGCCAGAAACCAAAAAATAAGATTTGGAACAATGAAAAACAAAAATTCATTTCTATTATAGACAGACCATATATACCTGTTGAGGTGAAAATATCTGATTTTTTTCAAAGAATTTACAATTCTTGTGTCACCTCTCTTGCCTATAGATGAATCTGCTTCATATAGTGAAGAAGATATTTGTTTGATGTGTGTATTTGTGTGTATATATTCTGATCTCTATGGGCCTCACAGACACCATAGGTCAACTTAGAGTGATCCAACTCTGTGCCTAGACTCTCGCAAAGTGCAATCAGCTTAATTGACTGAAGCGCCTCTGCAGGCATTGAATAGAATACAAAACAGCTGCTGATCGATTATGGAAGTATGTTGGAAACAAGAGGAGGCATGTCATTTACTTAAACTGTTTGCACTCAACATGAGTCCCTGCAAATCTACTATCAATGTTAGCTTTGTTTTTTACTTGATTTTTCATTTCAGAATTTTGGCACATTTCTTGTGGAAGTAGTGAACAAGGACAAGAAATTATGGGTGTTTACTGAGACTTTGGATGCCATCGTTGATCATCTGGACCTGTTGTCATGGAGATCAGGGTGACAGACATACTCCAGACCATATGGTACCACAGCTGACAGCTGAGGTAAAACTGCTCCCTGTGGTTTTATTTATTAATTAATTTATTTATTTATTTACCAAAACAACTAAAAACCTATATCAGCAGTAGTTCCATCATATGTGTAGTGGACAATATAAAAAAGCGTCATGTTTTGCTTACTAAAATGATTCCTGCAGTTGGGTATTTAATATATTCTTTTACAGTGTAATAATATCTTTATTTCAAGACATATTGATCAATTAAAGCAATGGATATCTTCTGAAAGAATATTGTGAATTTTTTCCAGATTCATGAACAGAAAAGCAGCCTGGGAGCCCACCTTCCTATCAGTATGACAGCAAGGACAAATCTGATTCAGTTCATAAATTACAAGTCTTAACCAGTAGATTAACTTAGACCCATTCCCTTACCTAGATCAATCTAGCAGGACCGAGCCATCTCAGAGGGAATTCTCACTAAATTTGAGTTCAGATTAAGCAGCTTAGAATATTATATTTTATACATCTGGCACACCTACTAAACTTTACATCAATCGAAATCAAGTGAAGTCCAATGCGTTTAATTCTAAAAAATAAAAGATAATATATACATATCGTAAACTTTGATGTTGTGAAAAACTCAAAAACTGGATTAGGGAAGAAAAGGAAGCCAATGTTCAGATTTACGCATCAGATATTATTTTCAGAAATGATGATAAAAAAAATCTACTAATTTCTCAGGTAAAATAATACATTTACAGAAAATCACAAAATGGAGGGCATCCATAATCCAGGGACATCGTTTTCTGAACTAAAAAATTATGCTTTGCTTGTCTTTATATGTATTTATTTTATACAGAAGTTACACATACCACGCAATAAAGTGGCATGGTAGGTATACGGATATGTATGAATGCGTATGTTTTTGAAAAATGTGTATGTGAGAAGTGGTTTGTATTGTATTGTACATTGTAATGTTTATTTCTTCAGTCTATTTAAAGAAAAATACATAGAGTTTTTAGAGAATGTACGCATCTGATTCTATTCCGAAATGTACATCTTTAATAATCCTTACATAGAATACACTGATAATGTTACTGAACATGTCAAACTACTGTCTCTAAGTCAGTAATTAAACTCATCACAGGCATCTGTAAGTAACAGGAGAACGAGAAGTGTAATTTAATGAATTTGCAGATTGTTACTTTTCATGAAATTTGTATTTGCAATTTATTTGAAATAAAGGAAATGTTTGCACACACTTGTAGAAAAGTGTACAACTACCAGGGTGGTTTTATTGGGTAGTGGGTCAAAGAGGGGGGGGGGGGGATAGAGAGTTCGAGGCCCATCTCGGCATGCCTATAGCTTAAGTGCATGTCTCTGTGGTTTAGGGGTACAGTGGTTGCCTGCTTCACAGATTAGATTCCTGACACATTTGGAAAACATCAGACTGGCTTCTGTCTTGAGAAATGTACTATTCTTTACATCATCTACTTTCCAGGGAAGAAATTTTAAGCTTACGGCAGCTGTGGACAATATGTCTACCAATAAATTACTGAGATCTCTAACAGTAGGGCCGTTCAATGGATTTTGTTTTGGTCATTTCCTATAAGTCCAGATTAGGGCGTTTTATGTTTACCTTGTTTTTTTTTTTAACTAGTGAAATAGGAAAAAAATTAATTCAACCAATAAAAATATTGGAAATCTAAATATCGGATTTTTTTTCATTTGAGACAAAACTAAATAAAGAACTGAATATTATAATATTTATAAGCTATAGGCTTAAAAGTGGAATTAATATTAGATACTTAGAGAGAAAAAAACTACTTAAAACGTTTATCCCCTTAAAATCAGAAATCTAATATCGTCGGTGAGAAATGAAAAGAGAATTTGCTGAATGGGTTTGTGTGTGCGTGTGTTCAAATTCACAATCTATTTAAAGAGTATTAAAATAAAAGTATTTTGTGGTAATTTTCCTTATATCTGATCTACGGTGTACAGTATAAATGGGTGATGTAAAGAATTCTAATTAGGAAAAGTGAGTAAAATGCAAGTAAATAGAATGCTTTTTATTTTATATTCCGGAGTCTAATATATTATTCTTTCCAACCGAAAATGCTACAAATTAATTACATTCAGAACGTTGTCTGTGCCCAGCTCTTTGAAGGATGACCTCGTGCTACTGGCATTCAAAACACACATGAGCGCCAAAGAAACAGAAATGAAAGGATACACAGTAAAAAACGCGTTCTGAGAATGGAAGAGAAATGTGGGTGGGGGTCGATACTACAGTCTACACACCAGGACTTGACTCTTCAATGATGGCAATAGATCATTCTTGGCTGGAATACATGATTCTAGGACCCTCCCCCCTCCCCGGACAATTCCTCCTAGACAACCCCCTCCCCCGAAGACGACCCCCCTAAGGCAATCCTATGATTATCTGTTTACCCATAGCCTGGAGATAGCGTTTTATGAAAATCAGGCATTTATAAATTTTCTCAATATCACATTTTCATTCTCATTATTATGTTCATTATGGGGGGGGGGGGGGGGGGGGGGGGGGGCATTTTCCGGGGGTGTCATGCTACCCGGATAGATGTTTGAGCTCTAATATTATCTGATGACCAAGATGAATAAGAACATTTGAAGTTTTTTTCAAATAATATGTCCACGAAATTGCTCTTGGGAGACAAGGATTAAGAAATCTAAATTGACTTATCAGCTCTATTATTTATGACAGCAGTTTCAATAAAATTTTGTTCGGGACTTCCAGGCCTTATAAACGGATTAGGAGTTTACTGACACTAGCCGCAGATCTTTCAGCACTAACGTTCATATTAACCACAAACCCCGCGACCAACACACCACACACTTATTTAGCACCAACAAAATGATATCTATAGCACTAACATTCATCCGCTCTGGTAATACTGCAAGACTAAAGACTCCTCAGGTAAACATTTAGCATCGTGGATCACCCCATACTTCATTACCCCAGTCAGA